TCGTGGCCGTCTGTGGCATCGTGCTAGCGCGGGAAAGGGTTCCGTCGTGGCTTCCTTGAGCTTCTGAGCCGCTCTTTAAGGCCGAGACGCCATCGCCGTCGCTCTTTCTTCTCCTCTGCTTTTGCCGTCGCCACTGCCATAACTCCGGCGAGCTCTCGCCGTCGCTTTAGCGCACCCCCGCCGCTACAAAGCTTGTCACAGCTTCGCCTTGCCCTTGCGCCTCGATTGAGCCCAGCCTAGCTACTGCTACCGGCCGGAATCGCCTTGTTTACCGGAACGCCGTCGCGACGTCGGTGCGGACTGCCATGAACGCCGCCGTCGTCGGCAGTGAGCTCCAGCACGTCTCGGCTTCATCTAGTTAGCCGCTCAAGTCTTGGTGAGTCTCTTCATGCCTAATCCAGCTCCATCTTGATCAGTTTTGCACCGTAGTCGCCATTCCAGCGTTGCGCCGTCGTGGTCAGCCGTGTGCGCCGCTGGTTGCCGTGGGCAGGCCGGTCGGGGTCATCCCAGGCCACGCTAAGTCCACCTATCGGTGCGGCCAAGTCTTGCGATGATCTTGTGCCACCTCACCACCATTTTTTACTGCCTTGATCGGCCAGCAGCATCGCCGCCGTGTTCCTTGCGCCGTTCGGCTCACGGAGGAAGACGATGGCACTGTAGCGAGTGCTAAATGAAAAGTCAGTGATTATTTTAAATAGTGCTGTGATTTGTTATTTTTGTGTATAATTAAATAGAGCTGCAAAAATTATGAATTTTTTTGTGTAACCTCTCTGTGATGTATATTATTTAAGAAAAATATGAACTGTTGATTTTCAGTACTTTTTGAATGTGATAAAAATTGCTCAAATTAATTAATAAATGAGTTTCCACAAAATAAATATCCAGTGACCATGAGACTTTTATTGTATTTGTTTATTGTTAAAGCCTACCTCCACAAAAGTTTGGAATTAATTTGATGATGTTTAATTATACTCTTATTTATATGCCTTAATTATTAGTTAATAATTGTCAAAATGATAAACATAGATTATAAGATGTCCTGATTGGTTTTTGGAGTTGATTATAGATCATGAAACACCCCACCCCTGCTGTGTCATGGCCAAGTGATTACCTTCTTGATATGCTTAGGTTCACCCTTTAGTTAATAATTCTAAATGACTTAATTAAGAACTTCATTAGTAAATGCATGTTAATAAACTTGATTGTTTCTTAGATGCAACCTCTTGGGTAAAAAGTAAAAGTTATACATTTCCTTGTATATTGTTTATACATGTCTTTTCATGATAAAGCTTTAGTTGGTAAGCATGTATGATAAGTGAACCTTTGACTTGTTAGAAGAACGACTAAAAATGCTTTATGATAATGGTTTGTAACTATACCGCGAAGGAAAGTTGTATTCAAGTTATTAACTTTTGCATCCATCATCAAGCATCATGTTTCGTATTCCGCATCATGTTAAACACGGCATTATTACTACGTGTAGTGAACGAAGGTGAACACATGGTAGTTAATCAAGTCGTGGAGGAAGTTAATCCGTCTGTTGAGGTCGGATCGAATACTTGTGGAATGTCGCAGGAATCGGACTTTTCCGTCAACGAAGGCAAGCCCCGGATGCATACAACCCTACCTTGTATTTTACAAATTGATTTCGCTTTTGCTTCTTTTTACTGCATTAAGTGATTAGGAGTCAAGTGAAAACCAAATTGGTACCTTACCAACCTTGTTATTCTATATTTACCATATTACCAGTTTTAAATTCGTATATGCCAGTTTTGCTTAGCTATGCTTAGAACGGTGAAAGTCGGGTGATTACCTGTCATCTGCAAGTTTTAAATGGAGCTTTGATTAATTATGTTAACATGTGATATGGGAATGTGGAGTAATAAATTTAGACCGGGCGGACGCGGTGTGTGTGAGCCACAAGACATGGAGGTTTTGTGAGCAGGTTCTTTCCGCCAGTGTCGATTAAGGTCCGTCCGTTGTTGAATTGCATGAGGTGAGACTTTGTAGTACTAACCACATACTTCGGTAAGCCTTAACTTGGCTATTCTATTACGAGAATGGCTACTCGCGCACTGGGAGTGGAGAGATGGCGGGAATAGCGTGTACCCACGTGGCAATGGGCTGGATTGGTGGAGTACTGTATTCTCGGGTGGTGCGGACCCGTTCTTGTTTTAGAGGATCCGATGGTAGGTTGGTATATGTAGGTCGGGGACCTACATATGTCGTGTGGTCTGGAATTCCCAGCTATGTTATAATCGGTTCGAATCGTCGTTGCTCCTCGGTTATGGAGACTCAACTCACTGTTCATCATCGTAGTAATTAATAACTGGAAACTAAGGATGGTATGAGAAAGTGTTGGTACGAAGTTTCATGATCTCAATACGGATCGTGTCAGCTTTGTATATGATCTTTATGAAGTTTTAAACGTTGATATAAAGAATTTTGTTAAAATGCTTTTACGCAAAAGAACCTTAATTATTGCTAAAGCCATACCTTGAATCCCATGAGCCTGCATTCCTGTGTTCTTTTAAATTTTTATTTCGGTTAAGTCTTGTTGAGTACTTTTGTACTCAGGGTTCGTTGACCCTTGTTGCAGGTGAGGCTCATGAGCAGATCTGTTTTGGATCGTACTGCATGACTGTTGTTCAGTGCGATGACGATAAGTAAATGTGTGGCCCTTGGGCAGGGCGGTTTAATTATGTGTTTTGTATTATGTTATAATGCCACTCCACTACTACGTTTTGTAATAATCATCGAACTTAGTTGTATGGTTTAAAACAAATGGTTTGTAAACTATGTTATTGTAAGTCTTCCGCTGTTTTTACTCTGATGTATCTATTTGAATAAACTGTTGTAATACTGTAATGACTCTGTAATGTGATCCTGCTCGGAAATCGTGGATGATTCGGGGTTCCTCGAGGACACCCGACAGTCTTCTTAAGTTACCGGGAACGTATGCATAGATGTCAAAGGTCGTTGGACAGTGACAGGTGCATGTGGGCCCTATAATTTAGGAGGTTCTGCCATAGTGGCGGGCCTTATCAGCACGGTGGTGGGCAAAGCTCCAAAATTGGAGCTCGGCGTGATGCGAGTCAAGGTGGGGTGGGGTCGGCTGGAGAGGGGACGTGAAGGAGGAGACATGAGCACGAGGAATTGATGAGAGGTGCTCGCTCTCTGGCTTCACCGTGACGCGACACGACGGCGGCAAAAAGCAGAGAGAGAAGAGGGAAAGAGAGAAATGGAGCGCGATAGTGGGCTTGGCTCGTCCTTGCCTTGGCGAGACACGAGCGGCGGGACCAGGAGGCCCACACGCCGGCGCCGGCCGACGGGAGTGCACGCGTCCGATCGGCATGGCCCGCACGTCCGCAGTGTCATAAATGACATAGCGACGGTGGCGTGCACGGCCACGTGCGGACAGCTCCCAACTGGGCCAGGGAGGGGCAGCGCGCGTACTGGAGCGACACGACGGCAGCGACAGAGTCGCAACGCGAGGCAGCAGTGGCGGACGCAACGGCAGCGCAGCGCAGGACGGGGCAGGCGGCACAGCGGCAGCGGCTCTGCGCAGCGGGCCAGCGGTAGCCGAGCCGTGCCCAGGCCACAGGTGGCCACCGCGCGCGGCAGCGCAGGCACGCGCATGCATGACCAACGCGGCGACGCCGAGCGCCCGGGCACGGTGATCTCGGCCACGCGGCCAACCACCCCGAGACAGTGACGCGCATGAATTTTAAAGCATTCATGACGATCAAATGGTTGCTCCTAAACCTAAACTGTCTTCACCATGCACAAGATGGCCACAAGAGACTACCAAATCGAGCTATAACACTACACTACTCCTTAACCCAATCTCTCACAATAAATTGCCAAACATAGCAGTGTCTAACTGTCGACAGACTTAAAAATTTCTAAGTTTTTGAGCTGAATTTGATTTTTTTTTTGTGATTTCTAAGCTAGTGGAAATATTAGCTAGTAATATCATTTGTTGATCGCAAGTATTTTACTATCATCTACAAAGTTTGTACTTCAAACTTTATTTAAGTATCACATACATGTTCTATAGCATTTTTGCTTAATAAAAATTGGTTTTAAACCCTAAGTGATATAATATGACTATCGACTCAACTTTCGTTTCATATTTTAGTTGATCGTTTCGAGTTACAGAAATTGATCTACACACTTTATCACATTCATGAACATATAAACATGATGCTCATAACATATTTTAGTAAATGATTTACGGTGTAACACCGAGGGTGTTACAATAACAACCTACGTTTTACAAAGCACATTATATTTTTATATAATAAAATCTGTGTATGCGAATAACACTTCGTTGTTAGCTAACATTTCTTATCACGAGGAACCCACAAACCATTTTGCCTTGACAAAGCATCTCGAAATACCCTAGCATCAGCTGCAGACCCTTCCCAACTAGCTAGAACATAGCTAAATTGCATGTCTGGAGTACAAGCACCAAGAACATTTGTGGCAATATCATTCTTTCTTGATCGGTATCTTGTTTATCAATAGCTGGAACAACTTTTATGTATGTACCATCTAGAGCACCTAAACAATTCTATATAAGAAAAATATATGTATTAGTCAGTGTAGGAAATTTTCTTCTACCCTGTGCTTTAATTTACTTATACCTGAAACCACTTCCATCTTTCGTCCTTACAATTCTCTAGAACTGGCCGAGGAGTCTTAAGCAGCACCCTCCAAAGTTTTAGAACGGCTTGTAACACATTATTAAAGTGTCGACTAATAGTTTCTTGAGACTTTTCTCATCATAAGCTAGGATATGTAGAAACATTGCAACCATTTCCTCAACTTTGACTTTCCTAGTACCCCTTAGCTCTCTAATGTCTCTAACCAACGAACATAACTTCCAAAAATAACGCCTATCCATCCGAAGTTGCTCAACACAATAGATATCACTTTCATAGATAATATCATTCAAATTCTTTGTTCGGCTTGATGGGTCAAACCTACAGGGTTCTCTAATCAACCTTTGTCGCTGATTTCTAAGAACAAGCAGATAGTAAAGGAAAACAAAATTAACAGCCATTAATAGTTTAAGCCTACAGTGTCTCATGTGTTGGCTCAGTACTAGAATGTTTCTCCTTGCAAGCGACCAGCCAATATTCTGTGTGAATAAAATTTGATAAGTTTGAAAACATACAAATTTACTCCGTAGGAATAAAGTTGCAAATTTACCTTGGCAACGTTGTCTTGTTGGATGCAGTAACCAGCTGTTGGATAGCCGCTGCCACTGTGTTCATTATGCTGAATGTAGACCTCTAGAAAGTTGGTTTGATTTGCGAACTTCAACATTTCAGAAACGGAAGTGTCATCTTTCAGGTGGTCTATACCAGCTTCATCAAGGATGCGACCAGGAATGGCATAGAACAGATTGTCCCCATCCTTGAATCCTAAGCTAGCAGCCAGTTGTACTACATTGAAGTAGGACATTGCTTGCTTCTCAATGTTTCGAAAAAGGGAGACTTCACCTCCTTCATAGGTCAGCGCACCTTCCTTTGAAAAAGCACCCCCATGGTGCATCAAAATATTGACGCACCCTGGAGCCATTATTGAAACAGGGACCAGTTGGGTAGAAGCAAGATCTGATTATGTATAACTGGAGAAGTGTAGATGTACATAGCACTATCTCAGAAAGATAAACCTGGGTTGGGGCATGAGAACCTGGATTTCATTTAAAGCCATGCATTTAGAGCCGATGTTCCATGATAGACACTAGACACAGCTTATGGACATGACAAGAGGAGAAGTTTACCTTAGAATTGACCCTACTTAGGTCACTATAGACAAAGTGGTCATTGAAGACAGGTGAATAACCATGCCCCCCTTCCATATGCTATAGAGGAAAGTGATGTTTTGCTTAATTGTCTCTAACATACGCAATCAGTTATTTACCTAAAGCACAACTCCATAATATGATGAAAATGGCAAGGAGAATCATGTATCAACTCTTGAACTTAAAAATTTCTGATATTCCCTTATGTCTTTATTCTGTTTAGGTACATTCAGCAGACTCTCTGTTGAAATTAGTGTCGGAACTTAAGAGGACAGCTATCTTTTCTGGGCTTGCTTCTTCATTGAATGAGAATGTGGATAGGAGGATCAGCAAGCTGAGGGAACTGAGAGAATGCTGGAGAGGATTGGGCAGGAGGCAGCAGCAAGCCTCAAGGAGCTAGAGGCACACTACTACTCATCTGTTGTGTGGTCACCATCCTATGAGTGAGGTTAATCTTATCATTCCAGGATAAAATTGCTCGTATTTCCAATATGCACTCATTTCACATATGGTTTAACAGCGATTATTTGCTCTATCACTGGAGTATCACTAAGCTGTAGCAGTGTTAATGTTCTGTGGAATGATTTAACCTCACTGCTAGCTGTATCTTGCTTTACATATATATAGGTGCATGATGCATAGTTCATAAGGTTATATATCTGTTTGATTATTTATCTAGTATGATTTTTTTCTTTATTTGATAATAATTTAAAGGATAAATAGTTTACAAAGGAGAAGATAAAATCATAGAAAATGAAATTTCTAATTCAGATTAGAAGGAAAAAGGAATGAATATAAGTGTTATGGTATGATTTTGATTACTCTAATAAAGGGAGGAGGGAGGCTGGAGAGAAAAACTTTTGGATATGTTCATTGCAAATATATCAACAATAGAGTCAATTTAATTATGAATTGCAATAAGTGAGTGGGGTATCTCAAATAGAGATGAGCTGCTAGACTATGTCAAATAATGTAGTCAGTGGTTCGAAAAAAACTAAGAGATGGGTGAAATTATACAAGGAATCCTGGTTTCAAAACAAAGGAAAATGGGGATACACGAAACTGGTATATGCTACACTCAATTAGCATACCTAATAAAAGTACGTAAAATGGATCTTCTGTCATGGCTTTTACATGGGAAGTATATGTAACACCCCAGGTGTTTGTCACTAGTTAAGCAATGGGTTTGAACTCAAACATGGCATGTTAAGTGGTGATGAAGGTGTCAAGATCAAATCTACAAGAGTGAGCTCCAACTTAAACTCGGGCAACACACCTTTGCTTGCATATTGGCCCTTTTCAGATATTTACCTAAGTAATGTTGAAGGTGCTTATTTCATGTGTCTCACATCAATTTCCATCCACATGAATGATTGGAAAAGTTTCTTGAAGTTTGGAATCAAGAAGTCACATGAAATGATAAGTTATAATCTGTCTTGGATTGCTTTATTAAGTGAATGGGAGTATAGGTCATCAACCAAACCTTTCTGCCTTACCCAATTGACTCTAATTGAACTCTACAACAAAAGTCATGAAGGGTTCGTGTGGAGCAGAAGTCAAGAAAATGCCTCAATCGGTCAAAAACTCTAATTTAAGCTTTACAGCGATGCTACTTTGACCTATGTTGATCAATTGCTTACAGTGCTTGCATGGAGTTACACCTTAAATAAAAGTTGAAGTTTAAGTTGAATAGAACTAAATTTGTTTGATGCTCAAGAGCTAATTCAGTGCCTAGCTAGGTCAAATAGAGCTCACAAGAATCAACAAACTGTTGTTTTTGGAACCCTGAAATTTGGCTAAGTGTAGATGACGAACTTCCAGTTTTCAGTTTCAATGTACCCATATTTGGCGAATTTTAGTTTGCAAACCATTTCAAATTTAGGAAAACTCCTTTAAGGAAAGTTAGAGTACTCTTGTAGCCCTACACAACGGTGAAATCGGTGGAACAAATAATCGATCGGTTTAGGAGATATGATGGGAGGAAAATGGAATTTCAGCTTGTATTTTCGCGGTGGTATTAGAATTTTGAATCAGTTGAACAATTTAAATGGCCGACCGGCTACAGGCGCGCAATGCCGCGTGGCGTCCCAGCTTACCCCGTGCTCGCCACCTCGCCCTCGCTCGCTCACCACGTCGCTCCTCCGATTGAGAAAAACCGAGCCCTGCCCTCCTGCCCTCTCCATTCTCCTCCTCCCCCCGCTCGCTCGCTCTCGCTTTCTCCGCTGCTCTCGGGCCTAGGGAGCTTGGGCGCGCCATACTGCTGCAGCAAAGCCATGCCCCATCCACCCTCGCTGCTCGACACCTCCAACCATCAGAGCACCCAGCCCCACGCCCCTCCAGCGCCTCCTCGCATCGTCCCCCAGCCAGCGAAGTGCCGAAAAGCACCGCCGCAGGAGCAACAGTCGCAGCAGCCGCTTGTCTCCATGGCCAGGCCACTGCGGGCCACCTCGGGCCGAGCGGAGCAGCCCCACGCGTGCGCGTCGGCTCCCTGGTGCTCCACCGCCACTACCCCGACGCCGGCATGGCCCCCAACGACCGGAGCCGCGAGCTCCGACGGCCTCCCCTCTCTGATTCGCGTGAGGGGCTGCGTACAACAATTAAAAGAAAGGGAAGGGCTAAACTGCAAACCGTAGACTCTTTTGAATAGTGCCTTTTTGACCTATTTGTTTTAAATCGGCTAAAGGTTTGGAAAATCATAATAAATCATAGAAAATTCGTAAAATAGCAAATGAGGACTTTTTGGAATCCTTGTGGAATTTTCTATGCAGTAGATCTATAATATTTCATGTTTTAGTTTAAAGTTTTAGCTGTGAAAATATGTTTATGCATCTAGGTTTTCAATTCTAGTTGTATTTGTCTTTTTCATAACTGCAGTTGTAGGGCTCCAAATGAAGTGGAAATTTTGTGGCATACTACTCATGTGATGTTTGATGTGTGGTAAAAATTTCATGGTCATTGGTTGCTGCATGAGTGAGCTATTGGTTTATCTTGCTCTCACATGATTTCTTGCAATAGCAAATTATCTTTTTCATAGAGGCAGCTATACTTATGCAAATAGTATGAAATTTGTACAGTAGACTATTGAGAGGATATGTGAGCTACTGTAATTTTTGTAGAATTTATTGTGCATTTATGGTATATGTTCATAAATACACCTTGATGTCTAAATAAATTAAGAAATGCTTTAAGAAAATTTATTTAGAGGTGAGCACCATGCTTTCTGGTGTTCTTTAGTCATGTGTGAAATGTTGGTAAGGATGGTTTTGCCCAATTATGTGTTTGCAACATAAGTTAATAATTATTTTTTTGTCGATGTGGTTTATGGACAGATCTAGGAACTTAGCAAAGTTCTTTATGGTAATATGCTTTGTTGTGAAACTTGTTTATACAAAAGTTGTAGATAATTCATGTATCTAGCTTCTGTTAAAATTTGGTGTTATTTGGCCAAGTAGTTTAAGAGTTATAGCTGTTTAAAGTTGGGTTACAGAATTGATTGCTCTCTGTCTTGTTTAGACCAGTTTCTGTAAATATATAATTTCAACCCACTTAACTTGTGAATCATGCTGTGATGGTTATAAATGAAATGTAGATAATTTTATAAGCTTTCCTGAATGTCTTGTTTCATGGCTATTGGATTTGTATAACTCTAGTTATGATCCAAACATGAAGCTGTTGTTTTCAGTCTAGAAATAGACATATGCTAGTTATGGTTGTTTACTCCATGTGTTGCTAAGTGTGGCTTATGCCCTTGTTGATGGTCAAGATATGATACTTGTGACCTTGTTAAACTTGCATCATGCATGATGTGCTTGCTCCCTATAGTTAGTTGTGTGATGTTAGTTAAATAGCTATTGGTGTCTATGTCTTGCATAATCTTGTGTTTGTCTTGAATGCTTATGTGATGCCTCTTGTATTATTATTCTTCATATTCATGCACTTGCATCTTGCATCTCATCTAGGTGCGCTAGATGAACCACGTGAAGGACGTGATGTTGGAGCCGAACCCGAAGACGGTGTATGGTGGACCTATCCCGAAGGTGGAAGGACTGGACAAGTGCTAGGACGGGAGATGCTCACCAAGCGAGTGTCGTCTAACAAACACTAACCTAGTGTTGGATTTCAGGCAAGCTCCGGAGCATTATAAGCCTCCCTATTTTAATAATGTCACTTAAAGTTATTCGTATTGCTGCATTACGTGACAGGAGTTGTTTGGAAACACTTGCTGCATATTACCTTCCTTGACTAGAAATATCTACCATGAATCCTATTTAAGTCTAGGAACGTTTATCATGCTTAGCTCTGCTTAGACCGGTAGAAGTCGGGTGATTTCCTGTCACCTGCGAGCTATAGGTGATAACTTGATCACGGTTGGCTATATTGTGCTATCGTGGAACATAACCTGGTAATGTGGAATAAATGGAGACCGGACGGGAAAAAGTTGGAGGCAACCAGACAGGGTTCTGGGGTGCTGTTAGTTTTCTGTCTGTGTCGATTAAGGATCGATCGTTGCTCGTCCCTCTTGTCATGTTGAACGCATGCCTCACATTTAGCTGGCCGAATAAAGTACCTTTCGACCACGAAGCTAGTGACACTATTTAAGCCGGGATAAACCCGGATTGGCAGACTGGTGCTGAAGGGGGTATGACGGGGACGCGAAGAGTGAGCCCAAGGTGCGTCCTGGCAGTCGGGCGGTCCCTGGGTAGTGCGGTCCCGGCTGTTATCCCACGGCTACTTGGAAAGTGTCATTGGTGATCTATAGCTCACTTGATCGGTG